ATTTTTCTTCAGGAGCTAATTCTATATACCGGTCTAACTAAGAGCATGTAATATCATAAAAATTCACTAGAAAACATATAATAAAATGTATAATAATTATAAAGCGTTAATTCATTACTTATGTACCCTCACATTTATCGATATATTAATGACCCGGCAATCTACGGGTCGCGGGTTCGAATCCTCATAATATCTCACGAAGTTCGTCCAGCTTAGGAGATTTATGTTAGTCCTAAATCCATATACTAGATTAACATTGCAACATAATCTTACTAAGTATGAAAAAGCAAAATAATACATTACTTTTCATAAAGTTAAATTTAAAGAGAGGATGTAAATTAAATTTACTCACGAGGCACAAATTATTTTTGGCTTCCTATGGGCATCTTATAATTGCTTCGCTGTCCTTTATTCAAGTTGATAAAGTCTTTTTCGGAATATTTTTACTGAATAATTAAATCGAAACTTTCATAATACAAGTAACTGAGCCAAATAAGTTTAGTTTCTAACCTAATTCCCGGAGCAAAGCAACTACCGCAACTGGATCCGTGGCGCTTACAATTACACCAAGAAACATGGAATCGATCCAACCCCAGCTGTCTTCATGGAAAATGTTATAGGCGAAAATAGTTGTTAAACCAGACGCAATGGCTACAAAAAAGGGATAAAAAAGATAATTTCAAATTATTATTAGTATAATCATTAGAATTATCTAAGTATGCATAAGCTTACTGATAGGTTTGTTTTTACATAGATTTTCATGGATAATTTATTTTGGTCTTGCCAGCAAAGGTTAATCCTGATAGACTGCGTATCCTCATTACCGTGTTGATGATAGACTGCGTATCCTCATTACCGTGTTGATGATAGACCGCGTATCCTCATTATCGTATTGATGATAGACCGCGTATCCTCATTATCGTATTGATGATAGACCGTGTATACTCATTACCGTGTTAGTCACACCTTTCCCTCCAAAACACATTTTTCTGTTACATTTTGTAGGTTAGGTTCTGGGTTTCTTTTTTGTTTTTCCGACATGTATATATAT